TGATGAATTCACAAAGTTAATTGCTCACTGCCCAAACCTGCGGTGCCTCTGGGTAAGAAACTTTGCGTTTGAAGTTGCTTAGAATCTGCACAATCAATTCCTTTCATAGGAATCTATTAAAACTGCAACACTGAATGAATGATCAAGACTGGAGGATTATCGAACATAGTAATTGTTGACATCATGAAGACCATGAGCAATTTGGTGTTCAGACATTGGCCAAGTGCACAATCTTCTCTACCAGTCACCAATCTGAACTACCAGCACAAAATATAAAACTTTTTAAAGTCATTTGTATAGAACTGAGCTTTGCTATTACACAATCCCTCATGTTTTCAATGTGTTCGTCTTGCTGATGTCTGATACAGTAGTGCACATTTTGTCTACTTCTTGATGATTTGTTTGAGAGGTTTCTTTTTACTAGTATCCTTATTTTTTTCATACTTGTTGCTTGGGAGATGAAAACATGTCATGCCAATCAACTGCCTTCGTTTCGATTAGGGAAGCAACATTTTAGGCGCTGCTCCATCAAGGCATAATTTTCACATGAACTAATAGCATTTGAACTGGTGGCTAGTTCATTCCGCGTCCACCAAGAAGGTGAACATGAAGATGCTAAACAAATTGACATCCCCTTGTCCATCATTAATCACAAGACAGAACTCTGAAGCCAGCCATATCTTCCAGATATTCTTGTCTGCAACAAGCTTTGCAGAATGAAGAAGGCGGTCCGAGAATTTGAAGATGCCACTCCTTGGCATGTTTAGGGATACATAATCTCCTTGGTTTGTTACAAAAAACAGGGGAGGAACCAAAAGGCAACAAAGCAGGTGTTTTTACCAAGAGATATATTAACTAAGCGGCGTTCTTGTTTCTGTTTAATTGGTTTCATGCTTTTGCTTTGCTTATTATACTCGATGCGTGCATGATGCGTTGCTTTTCCAAGTCCAGGTCCTCTATTTGACTTTTCCAAATCCAGGTCATCAAAGCATGACTTTTTTTGTTTTTCTCAAGAACCTGAAGTAGATGGCTGTTCTTATGCATCATTTGATTAAAATAGAGACCCCTCTTATCTTTTGTCTCCAAAGCTTTAAGAACCCTATGTTACCACCAGTCCACCAACCAACAGACTAACTTTTTCTTCAATTTCTGTGTGTCTGTCTAGTGTCTCTACCTAACTAATCTTTTCATGCTGGAAGAGGATGACTTCTTAGCAATCCCACTTTCCCACTTACTCGATATCTAGGGGGTAGAGGCCTTACACGTAATACCCAAATACTACTATCTATCACTCTGCTGGGATTACGGTTTTGTGTATTGTACATTTTCGAAACATACAAAATTTTGATGCAACATATTCCTTATCAGCCAAAAAGGCCCAAAACCAGCCTTTTGCTTGAAATAATAATTGGAAGGAGCCTAAAAAAAAAACTTCAAATTCACAACTGCACGACATTAGTAGCATCAAGCATCGACATCATCCAGTAATAATAAGTACTAGATAGCCATCTCTGCTGATTAACAGAATTTGAGACTCAGAATTTCTCAAATTTAGCAGTTGCAAGCATCAGTACCTGCTAATTACACTAATAAATAATAGTGGCTAGCATAATATCACCACAGTTGTTTTCCAACGTAACTAGTTAGTTTTACAAACTAGTAAATGTCTCCAAATAAAAGCTGCAAACACAGGTCGAAACAGGGATACCCCAATCTACAAATATCAAATGCACACCTTGCAAATAAAAGTACCCAAAAGAAGCACAGAATTCTGCTGCATCAACTCTTCTAACAGCTGTTTTCTCTCCTCTTCTTGATACTGCACCAAGTGAAACCCTGCAGAACATTGATGAAGCTTTGTTTAACGATTCAACAACTTGAAAAGTAAGTCAAATGTGAGACGGAAAATGGAAAGCAAGGCAAAAAGATCACACGATTGCGAATCAAATAATCACGTCCAGAGGTCAACAACAACTTCATCCTCCATGTCCAAATTAGGCTCCTTGGCATTCACAATCTTGGATACCATCAAATCATCGAATCCCATATCAATCCTCGAGTGTTGCTTCAACAGTTGTTGCTCCGACTCATCCTCGCTAACTGAATCATCTCCCATGAACTTCTTCCATAGATTCTGATCAGCACTTTTTTTCGATTCTGCCATTGAAGTGTTTGCCTCCTGATCATCTTGGTCCATGCCACAAGCTCCATCATCCATGGACTTTGTTGTGGTTTTTGAGCTTTGTGGTAGAATCACTCTTCTTCTCTTCATGGTCTGAAGGATTTCAAGTTCTGGTTCTTTCTCTACACGCTGAATTATCTTCTCAACTAAGGCGGGGCTGAATATTCTGGCGAAGACCTTGATCAATGCTTTTGACTTAGCCTCCATTCTTTTCACATTTTTCTTGAAGGTGGCTATGCTACTCTCAAGTTTCCCCATATGATATTTTGATCTTGTGATGTCTTCCTTCAGTGCATTCACGTGATCCTCAAAAATTTCCAGCTCTGCCTCCATTGAAGGCCTCGCAGCCGTTACGTGTTGTTTCCTCAGTCCTCGTCTTTTCCTGATTGTTGGATCTTCATCATTTCGCCTTCTAATGTTCATTAGCAGATGTTCCTGCCCTCTCTGAAACCATTTATTCTCGTATTCATATTGCCTCAGTCCAATCTTCTTGAATCCCTGTTAAGTTTAGAAAGCAAACAATCAGAAATTAGGGGGGAGGATCCCAATTGCTGTTGAATTCGAGTCTCAACGAGGAATTTATTTGACATTCAAACTACAAACACAAAGCATGAGCAAAAATAGCAAGCATAAGTACAAGAAAAAGGCATTTACCTAGGTTCATGAGTTGTGATAGACATAACAAATTCTTGCAGAGACTTTCTAATGATGATAAAAAAAAATTACCTAAAGAATACGATATCCATGCTATGAAAAGGCATTTACTCTAAAAGGTATGCAATAATCTAAAATGTATAAACTCACATAGTTGTTGAGTTGGTAGATGAAGCTTGAGAAATTGTTGTGCTTGAAATATTTTGGTAGAACCTCCGCAGCAAATTTGAGATGGTCCAGGACTATTAGGCTGGTACCTTCAGAATTCCAAGAAATCATGTTTTTTGTCTCTGTATCCTCCACCATTTGAAAGGTCTTCGTCAAGAAGGGGGGCGGAGTGAAACCACGCACTCCCTTCATGAATTCTATCTTCTCTGAGGCCTGCTTGGAGGGTAGCGAAGATGGCCTAACAATCCCACCATTTCCGGCTATTTCTCCACCACGTACTTCCATTGTATCTTGACGAGTTGTTTTGCATTCCATGAGGTAGTAGTCAAGACTGTTTTAAGTTTAAAGATGTTCAAATGGGCTAAACAAACTGCCCCTGCATGCAATGGCTGTTCTTAAGTAAAATTCCATCAAAAAGGTTAGTCCCCCTCTGGTGAAATCATGACTCTCAATTCACTCTCTTTCAATTACCCACCTTAGTAAGAATGAGTCTAATACTGTTCTATTACTGCCTTATTCACCAAGAATATATTCCTCTTGCAACTTATTTCCTAAACAAAGCACAATCTAATTTTTATCTCCATATTTGAGTGGCCTTGATTATTCACCTAAGAATCAAAGTGGGAGGAGGACAACATCATTTTTAAAGCATGTTTCTGGTGTCCTTGTACTTCAAAATGAGTTGTTAATAGAAGCTGCATTAGTGTACTCTACGCTTATATAGATCAGCAATCTACCTCGTCTACTTTTCTTTCCGTTCCAAGTATCATTCGAAAACAAGCGACTAGGATGTAGCTACGATTTGTGCCATAATCGGCCTTGTTCCTTAACGTGTCATGTAAATTAACTTTGATGCTGTTACAAGATTGAAGCATTTTGGAATCTATGGGGAAACAAATTGAAGAAAAGAAATGAGACATATGGTATGACTTTTGATCCATCTTGTCATTATTTAGTTTTAAGGATGAATTGGTTGTCTTTTTCATAATCCAAGGCACATCGATGTACAATTAAGACAAGGAGGAATGGTGATAAGTGAAACTCCTGTTATTTGTTTTGGCAAATGAGTACAACTTCTGTTAGTGTGACAGAAAAAACTGTGAAAAATTAACAACCATTTCTGTATAGGAAAAGAGATAAAATCATTTATCCGTTTACAGTGATTACCTCCATTCCTAATTGATAATGAGAGATAATCACAGTTAACTTAAGAATTTGGCCCATTTCCTAGAAAATCTTGTTTCAGAATGTTTACTGCAGTGGGGAACAAACCTTGCATTTGGAATATTTCCTGGTTTGTCAAATGGGAGCTTTTACAACAGCAATAAACCAACAAATAGAAACATGAGGATTTCTCAATTGAAAACAACTTAGTTCCTCCAAAGAAAACATGTGATGCTTGCAACTACAGTGCAATACCTCTTTCCGCATAGGATACAAGCTAAAGCTTAGTAGCTTTAACCCTTAAAGTAAAGTTCTGGTTTCATTTACGAGTGTTATTATGGTGAAAAATAAAACCCAGACCAGATTGTAAACAGACTAATGGAAGAAAATTTGTTCCAAATAAAAGACACTCTGAAACCATGTTTAGAGGTCATTGCTGAGTTCAAACCTTTGCAGTAGCAAGGCATCCAAACAAACTAGAAAGAAATGTAGTTCAATTGATCAAGACATCTTTTACCTTTAAAACACACTGAAGTAATACTGGTCTCAAGAAGTCTGACAAAGTCAGTAGTGAATGAGTTGAAATAGTCTGATGGACAAAAGAAAAAAAAAAGAAAAAGAAAGATAGAATAAAAGTTGGACATTATCTGATATCCATAGAGGGAATTGCTCTTGAACTGGTTTTGCAAGAGCTTTGGCAATCCAGTGAAACACCATGGTGAGGTACCTAACATAGAATAATTGATAAATATGATTAAGAGAAACTGATATCTCAATTGTGAAAAAGAAATTACAGGTCCAGGTAATACCAGTAAAATCAACTCTTGAACTCCTAACTCCTGGCTTTGTTACCTATCCCTTTAGCAAACTCATTCCAATTTGCCGGTCCTTCAATCAAATCCTCCAAAGGGATGACATCATTTTGCTGAAGCTTTGCTCTTTCTTCTTCAGGCACATTCTCACAGCTTATATCATCCATTAGCTGCTTCTCTAGCAATGAGTATACTGCAGTATAGAAATCAGAAAATCTTCCCATGGAAACAGTACAATCCTCCTCCTCCTGAACAGCAGTGCTCAAGTTAACATTTGAAAATGTCTTTCCCGTACCTGATTGTGCCCTAGGAGAGTTTTTCCAGCTCCCATGAGATGTTTCCCCTTCATTTAGGAGCTCTACTAAGCTCTCAATGCTTTGTCTTCCACCTGATCCCTGTTCATTTGCAGCATTATTGCTCTGCAGCTTTTTTTTTCTTATCAGAAGTTCATGGATCGTATACTTCAGCATATTTTGTAGCTTGGATGTAATACACTGGGCTTGTTTCTCAAGGATTTCCATTTCTTTCACTGAATTTTCTTCCATGTCTTTCAGCTTCATTATTTCCACCTTCAACGCATCATGTTCTTGCATTAGACTTTCAAATTTCTTTTGCTCTCCAGACAAACTCAATTGTCCTTCAGTTCCTAATGGCTTACATAGATGTGCATTTTGAGTTCCTTGAATTCTTCTCTTAATTTTCTTTAGCCAACTCTTCTTACCTTTTTGGAACCATGCATTCTGGAATTCCAATCTATCCCAATTGATCTTTCTGAACCCCTAAAATTGTTATAACAGCACCAATCAGTTATGTCTCAATCTTTTCTAATTTCAGTAGTTATTCATCCCATGTCACTAAAGGAAAAAATAGATGGACAAAGAAAGAACGATGATATCAGATCACACGATGATATAAGATATGCAGAATATGATACCTCACATACATCTATACTAATACTGGTGGGCAAGTTTATTTGGTATTCAAGTTTTCTTGCTTTGATTTACAACTTATGTACTATAGTGCACATAAGAAGAGTGAGAACTCTTAATATAACAGTAAAAAGTGCCACTTCAAAAAGGAACAATTCGCAAAAGTCACATACACTAGGCAAAACATTATTAAATAATTAAAGAAGTCTACATGAAGATGAGAAAACAGGAGACAATGCAAGTGGTATGATATTGAAGGATACTCACGTATGTGTTGAGTTGGCAAATGAAGCTCGCAAAGTTGTTATGCCTGAAGTATTTTCCAAGAACCTCAGCAGCAAACCTGTGAGGATCCCACACAATGAAGCTGGTGCCACTAGAACTCCAGGATATGATGGAATCTGTCTCAGGGTTCTTCACTATGTCATAAACCTTGAGCAAGAAAGGAGGTGGTGCTCTCACCTGTGAGGATGAAGAGGATGCAGCATTAGCATAACCTTCTTTCGCAAGGGGAGTTGCAGAAACTGCAGCAGCAGCTGTAACAATAGCATTGCTACTGCTTTCACTAACATCAGTTCCTATTGGTATTATTGGATTCAGTCTCTCTCCCTTATTCTCACCTTTTTTTAGCTCATATTTGGTAGAGTTTGCTTCCATAATTGGCAAGCAGATTTCTTTGATCTTTTGGGAAAAAAATTACAAATATCTTTTGATAATAAAAACTGTAGCAACTTGGCAACTTTGCATTTGCTAATGGTAGCCAACCCAATTCTCCAGGATGAACCTCTACAAGCTTCTGAAACAAAGCTTTTGTTTTGAATGCCAAACATGCACTAGTGACTATATCATTTTCTCATCCCTAATTCTATGTGAAATGTTTCGATGCATCAGAAGACTGTAACTCACCTCATATTCCTTGTACATCACACCATCTTCACTTGTTACTCTATCTTGGTAAAGAAGCAGTACCATCTGTCCTTCATATTCCGTTTTTGATCATGATATTCCAAATGTACATGGATAATCAGTCCGCTATTTGGTCCTAAAAGCTACACTTTGTTCAATGATTATATATTAAAGCTCTATTTCTTCTGTGATCTAAACCGCCAAAAAGTTCTAAAATAGGTACACAGAATTTTGCTTTTTTAAATTATTTATTTATGAAGTATTATTATTATATTCTTTTTCTTTTCGTGGGGATAGGGGGAGGGGTGGTAGGGGCAAGATAGAAGCCCCATTCTTGACATACGGGATAGATTGTATATTTATTTAGTGCTATTCCGTGTAACCCAAGAGGCCAATATAATTAACCGAATTGAATTGAACAAAAACTTTTTGTTTTCTGTTGGTGAACTTAATGCTTGATATCCACATTATCCCATTCTTTAACAATAGTTACTAATACCCTACGGGGGAAAATGTTTTTGGAGTAGAACGACATTCCCATCCAATCGTTGCAATTTCAACAAATTTATAGATAACGGATGTGTTGACTTTTAACAACCTCACCTTCACGAAGTTAGGGCTAACTTATGAGAGATGACTCATTCATTTTTGCCCCAATCCATAATCGCAGCCTTCTCTTATCTTTATTGTTTATGGTCATTTGAATTCTCCTGCATAGGCTGGTAATATTTTTTGAAATATTTTGCAAATTACCGTCAACTTGATTTTTTATGGGCTTCTTTTAAGAAATTTGTCTATAGCTTTTTATAAATAAAAATCATAATAGCTTAATTTTATATTACAAATAAAAAAATTAGCATCCACTTGAAAATTTCTTGTTTTTGAAAAATTTGAAGTTTCAAAGAATTGGTTTGAAGAATTGATTTTTCCACTCCACTTAAGAACGACATTCCTTATTTTTGAAAATTTAGAAAGAATTTATTCTTGAAATAAATTTCATCAATAACTTGAAATAAATTCAGAATTCTTGTGATGGTAACAATTATGAATTTTCAATTGTTTAAGGGTCAATGTATATAGAAATGAGGATTTATTAAAATTTAATGGGGTTCAAATGAGTTGTAACTTTAAAATTTTCTAAATTTCCTAAACCTCAAAGTTAAGTACGGTGAATTGACCCATTCATGCAGCGGCTCTGGCACTCTACCAGTGTAATAGACAACATGTTTCCCTAGTGGGCCCTCGATTATTCTCCACTTTGAGAGACGTATGTTTAGTGTGTTCATTTTGCGGAGGTGATGAACATCTTGCGGAGCCGTAAAGCCGAAGCCAGAAACAACACTAGAGGATACAACCAGATTTCCTCCATTAAACCAGCTCACTTCTTGTCCTACATACTACTAACATTTAACCATGGACTGATCCATGTCGTGGATCCGAGGTAGAAGTTGAGCCTCGTCTCTAACTTTTGGTTTGAGATCTGACTGGCCCTTTGCTAATGGGATTTGGTGCCACCAAATCTCTCGTGAAGACCGAAATTGCGATTTCTTTCTTATTTCAGCCTCTCGCCTGCATGCAACACTTTACTTACTACTACATACGAATAAACTCAATAAAAATAAATAAAATTACTATTAAAGCGACAATATAGCTACCTTAATTTAGAACCCTAAATTGTTTCTTGAGTAAGTATATTGATATAGACGATGGATTATTGAATCCATGATTCTTCATTCTTTATCGGGTCATCACCCAGTGAATGAATGAATACTTGATAACTAGCAAATCCATGTAGTAATCATCTAAGGGAGTTGAAGAGGGGAAAATGAAAAGGACAAGCATCAAATCCTGCAACAGTGAATTGATAAATGTTGATCTCAGGTCACAAACTTACAAGCCGCACAGTTACAATATCTTCAAATAAAATATTTTGCTTTACAAATTTTAATCATTTTTTTTTATCCTTTCAATCAATTTTTTTATGTCGCATACATCACATCACAAAAAGTGATACAACAATTATCTCAAATGAATCATCCAAATAAACTCATACCCAAACAAATCCAAACCACATTGGTTTTTTCCCAAGTTGCTTTACACTTGGAAGGATCCAGAATTCCCAAAAGAATTTCCAAGCATACATAATAAACGTAAAAAAAAAAAATATCGTAAGTCTATATAACATCTATCACGTGCGCTAAGCGTGCCTAACAATCACAAACGCTTGCAAGGGGTATAGATAATGGAGCCTAGCCATGAGATGCGGATAACGTGGCTCAATTTGATGTTCGGAGCATGGCATTTGAATGATCAAAACCCCACTTCATCAGATAAGAAAGAGGACCTGCATTGTGATTGTGGCACTCTGTTTTTTTTTTCTTTTTTTTTTGTAATTTGATTGTAAGTGAAATAAAAAAATCTCAAAAATATATAAAGGTGGAAAGAAAATGTGTATTTATGATGCAACAAAAAATAACATTTAAAAATAATTGTTTCATCCAAACACACCCATTATATCAAGTTACTTTACATCTATCTATAATAAAAATAATAAAATGTGTTTTGATTACAAGATTTTCAAAAAAAAAATTTTAATTTTGTTTTGCTTACTTCATACGCACAATTTTCCATCATCTTTGTATTTCACATATATCACATCACAAAAATTGTTACAATAATTATTTCAAATAACCTCCCATCCAAACAAACTAATTTGTTGAGGAGTTGCGGATGAAGATGGGATAATGAGCAAATCTAAAATATTCGGATGACAATAATATCATTAAAATCAACCAAAACAATAATGTGAATCTATTACATTTCATTTTCCAAAAACTACCGCTATTGAGGAAATGGATTTAAAAGATTATTATCACAGAGAAAAAAAGTCAATTGTCAGAACTGGAATATTGGCAGAGTTCAATGAGAAGATTGCATAAGTAAAATTTCGTCTTAATATGGTTTTAAATTACCATCCAATCAAGATTTTAAAGTTCCAAGTTCTATTTTAATCTCCATCCCTTATCTCTGCAAGCTCACCCTTTCTCAGTTTCTGCTCCCGTGACATTTGCGGCCCCAATTCATCGAGTCATGAGGCCTTGTGTTACTTATCATGTAGTCAACCTTTGACCAGGTTTTACTAATTAGTTATGGGCTTTGATTTGTATGTATTTGGGCCCCACATATGAGGTGGACCAATGTAAGCCCAACATGTCTAAAGCAATCATTTAGATTTGCACGAATGGTTCCCTATCGCATGGAAAACTGATCCGGTTTTCGATTAGTCAATCTATTTTGGATTGCTCTTTTTTCTTTTTTTTTTTAAAGACCTTCCAAAGAGGTTGTTAAAACTATTCATTTGCCTTCATTTGTGCCCAAAAAGCCCCAAACAAGAAACTAGAAAATTAAAGGATTAAAGGAATCACTGTGATAGAAAATTAGAAATCAAAGAATTAAAGGAAAAAGTGTGAAATAGCTATTATTCAAAATTCAATTGTTATCAAATTTTTTGAACTTCAGTTTTTTCTTCTAAACTTCTTTATAATATGACCAAGAATAAGAGAAAACTCGTATCATATCCTACTTCTATTTATTTGTGCTTTTCCTTATTGTGTTTTAAGTTCTGATTATTACAACAAAAAAAAAAAGTCACTAACCTTATTACTCCCAAAATTTGCACGACAATGGCACAATCATCAAGCGGACTTTAATTTTTTGATCAAAAACATTTTCTACACAAAATGAAAAATGATGAGTACACTAATTGGACAAAGAGATCGACGCTATTGGACTATCAAATTGGTCCAACAAAATTTTTGTCTTCTTTTGCTAAGAAATTATTTTTTTGTTTTTCTTATAAAAAAAAAAGGTTGTTTAATTTATACCCTCATCGGCCCTACACGCGAAGAAAAAGCAAATCATTCTTTTAGACCTCTTAGTTGGCCTTTGCATCAGTTTCACTCGTAACATTATTCAAACGGTCATTTAAACAGACCTATAATAGAAATTAGGAGAATAGTCTCATTTTGCATAAAGTTAAAATTATTGGTATCACTTTAAAAAATTATGTACTTTTGCAAAAATTATAGAGGAGATGAAGTGCCATTAACAATAAGCGGTGTCTCCATTGATTATGCCATTGTCTAGTAGAAGGTTAGCTGTTAAATATGGCCAGAAGTTGGGAATTGTTTTTTGTTACCATTAAGCCTATATTAGACCACCAATTACTTGTTTAGGTGGATAATTTATGTCCAAATTTGTAGCACAATCTGAAATGCAATTGATTACTTAAATACTAGAAACTAGAACGGATGCTCAAAACTTACTATTTTAAGAAACCAAGGAAACTCATCTGCCTAGAGGCAAGTGTCTTGCTTCAACGAAAAAATAATTGCACTAAAATTTGATTAAGTAATAAAATAAAATAAAAAATCAAGTTTGAGTTCCCTCTACCCCCTGGTGTTTTGTTGACATCCATGGTACAATACTTCAACCCTTCTTGCTACACAAATGACAATGAATAGTTATCTTTTTTTTTTTTTCTGTGAAAGTCTAATCAAAGGCTTCTAATATTGTTTGAGTTGGAGGGTTATCGTCTTTTGGTTCACAATAAACGAAGCCACTTTATTTTCACCAAAGTTTGTGAATTATGAGTTTATATATATCATGATTATGTGTTGATAAAACTGTCGAATATTTGAGTGTAATTGTATTAATCTATATTGTCCACTCTATATTTCCAATTATGAATTATCTATTCCATTCTCAAAACACCATAATTTCAAGTTTCAACCTATTTTGTTGATTTTGGGATTAACTCAAACGAAAACTAGATAATCTGAGTACGTGCGCAGTTCGGGTAATGGCCACATTGGTTGAGTTTCTCCAAAGTTGGACTGACTTCATTCGATGGGTGACCATTTGCCAAATCTGCCAGATTTATTTTAGGCACTTAATGGATTTAGGGTAAGCAACCTATAGGCTAAATGGTCATTAAACTATACTTCACTTTCGACTGATGAAAATTTCGCTGTTTAAATTCTCCATTTAACTGTTGAAGTTGGTTCTAAAAATGGTTTCATATAGGCTTTCTGTAAACCTTATTCGTACGCTCCAACGTCCCTAGTTAAGTTAGACTGAAGTACTTAGAGACCTCACCTTTTGCTTTCTTGCATAATAAAAATTTTTCTTATGAATAAACTTGGGTGGATAAATACTAAATAGTATTAATTGCAAATGTCCTTCTAAAAGTTCTATTTTAACAAGACCCTTTTTTCTTCATGCATTAATACAGCATTCCAGCTAGTATGTAAGAAGCTGTTTTGTTTTAAAGGGAATCGGTGCAACTTATTGATGGCAATTGGTGCCATGTTGGATCTAAGGTAGAAAATATGCCTTATAGAGTTCTCCTTCCTCAAAATTTATTCACTTTTTGAGTCAGAAGAAAACCTCACCAAGGTCTGGAAAGCACTGTTCGATGTGTATGAGGAATATGTTGTTGCAACTGGCAGTTCAAGTGAAAATGTAATTGTGTCCTATGGCAGTGCATCTGATGGCCGGGATTCAAAGTAGCAAAAGTCTTTGGATTGGAACGATTCTACTGAATATATTGTAGCAGTATAGACCTCAGCCTCCCCACAAATCCGAATTGTTAGATTATCTAGATAAGCCTCATCATCTAATTGGCTCAGATCCAAGTTCATTTGACTCCTTATAGTAGTGGAAAGTCAATAGTATTACATACCCGACTTTATCTAAGATGGCCTGCGATATCTTGGTTATTCTGATAACTACAGTAGCATTGAGATCATGTTTAGTGCCTGAACTAGAGTAATTGATTCATATAAAGCTGCATTGGCTCATCAATCTTTCATATACCTCCGTTTGCACAGATTGCACCAAAGTTTATGTGCTGGAATTTACGTTATTTTGAAGGTATCAGCATGTCTTGTTTACTGATTTCATGCACATTATAGAGGAGTTCTGCTTCTGCGTTGAGTAAATATGTTTCATGCGCATAATTTGATTTACACAGACTTCTGGTTTTTGAAAAGATGCAGTATGGTACTTGATTCTCCCAATTTGGAACCTGGATGATACATCATTTGAAATATTTGGAAATTCATAGGCGGATTTATTGCTAAATGAAATGGTTCCGAAAATTGAGTAATTCTGGTTCTAGAGGACTGAGTCTGAGTCATGTCAAGTGCTCAACTTGAGTCGATCTCGAGTAAGCAAAAGTACTGTCAATCTTGAGCTCGAGCAAAAAGATTGCTGCTCACCCAAAATCAAGTTCAAGTAGTAGTTTTTTGGGTCGAGTCAAGCCTATAGAGCTACTAGAACTATAAATGCAAGAGAGGATAACTATTATGGGCAAGATTAAATAAGAAAAATATATAAATGCAAGAGAGGATAATAATTGTTAATATGTGTATATATATGATAGATTAGGTGAATACTAAGTGCATTAACGAGTGAATACTAAGTATGTGTATAAATACTAAAAGCACATGTTAGAAAAAATTCTTTTAATTTTGTGGTAGGTGTTTTGCATGCTACACTGTCAGGAACTCAGAAATTAAGCCATTGTCGTTTTAGTCACATTGTTTAGCGTTTGGTATACACAGGGCACAGACACTGGAAACGGTGTCGTTCCACTAAGCGACAATTAGTAGTAAATAAAGGCGGTTAAGACATAATTGCATAAATACCCCCCTAATGATTGTAACAGAATTAGTTAGGATATTATTTGTCTGAATTTATCAAATTCCCATACTTTCCTCTTTTCTGTTATTTCTCTCTCTTCCCTTCTACCTTTCTTTCTTTCTATTGCTCTCTTTCTGTTAACTTTCCAGTGACTGTTGTAGCCCATTGTGGCGGTGCTAGCTCGGAGCCTGACAGTTGGTATCAGAGCAGCCGATCCTTGGCTGCTGAGGAGGAAGGTCTGCCATGGCGAAAGGCACGAGATACTGATCCTTGGAAGATCAACTGAAGAAGCAGGAGAGTAAGCTCCAAGAATTGGCCGAATCCATGACCGCTCTGCATACTTCCGGGCAGAATGAGTTACGGCAGAGACTCCAGGAAGAAGTGAAGAAGAGCAACTCACGATTGGAGACAGTGGTGGGCAATCTGGACCAGAGATTCTGCAAGTTGGAGCAAAAGTTCAGCGCACTAATGCAGGTGATGTTGAAGGACAAGGGAGTCCAGGAGAACGAAGGGGGATCTTCTGAACCTCTTCTGCCCACTCCACCCTCGTATTTCCGACTGGCAACTCAAGCTGAAATAGCAGGCCACCAGCAAGAGTCCAGAGGTAGGATGTCCACTCCCAATTTGCCTAGGTTAGAGTTGCCAATGTTCTCGGCAAGGAACCCCAGGGAATGGCTTAGGAAATGTCATAAATACTTTTTGAACTACCAGATACCTGCTAGCCAGAAAGTAGATTTAGTGGAAATGTTCTTAGAAGGCAAAGCCGACAACTGGTTCCAAGGGGTAAAATTAGCTAAACCTGGACTGAATTGGGAAGAGTTTAGCGAGTTGTTATGTGAGCGATTCTCTGGAAAGGGATCACTCGACATAGTAGAAGAATTTAACAAGCTGCAACAAGTGGGGACAGTGGAGGAATATGAGGAAAAATTCGAGAAATTAAAAACTTTGATGTTGACCAAGAACCCCAAACTAGATGAGTCCTATTTTGTTTTTAGCTTTATCAGTGGGTTGAAAGAGGAGATCAAGCCCATGGTAAAGATGTTCAGACCACAGACATTGACCAAAGCATTTGAAGTAGCAGAGTTGCAAGAGTATGCACTGGAGGTGCAATGTAAGCAGACTAAAAATTCTGGCAAAGTTGCACTGGAGCCTAAGTTTGGGATATACAAGGGTCAAATTGGTGGACAGAACCTACCTAGTACTTACAAGCTTCCTGCAATAACTTCTAATACTAGGAAGACTGAAGTCGCACACAAGGAGGTGGGAAGACTTTCAGCAGAAGAGCTGCAGTACAGGCGTAAAAATAACCTGTGCTACAGGTGTGGGGAGAAGTTTGGGATGGGGCATCAGTGTAGGGCAAAAGGTCTGAACTGCCTTAGTGTTGAAGAAGAAGAGGAGACTGATTTTGAGGATGCAGTGGGGGAACAGGATGAGCTTACTGGTAGAGTTGGGGAGATGGCTGAGGTATCATTGAATGCCTTGTTTGGTGCCATTCAGAGGAAGTCCATTATGCTGATTGGCAGTATAGAAGGCCTACCAGTCAAAATACTAGTGGACACTGGGAGTTCTGACAGTTTCATCAACCACAGACTTGTTACCTTATTGCATCTACCTTATCAATCTGTAAATTCCTTCACTGTGACTTTGGCAAATGGAACAGATATCACCAGTGGGGCAGCATGTCCTAAGGTAGCTTGGAGGATACAAGACTACCAGTTTCAGTTTGATATGAAGATAATGGAACTAGGTAGTTGGGATATCATCCTGGGGGTTGATTGGATGTGTCAGTTCAGTCCAATCACCTTTGACTTCCACACCCTCAGCATCGCACTCAGTGATAGAGGGCAATTACTTCATCTCCAGGGGTTCATCAATCAACCTACAATGGAGCTTATGAGGGGAAGGGATCTCAGATCCTTCATCCAGGAGAAAAAAAGGAGCTGTGCACACCTGCAAGCGAACTCCACCAAGGACCTTCAGAAAGACATTTCAGAGCTGGTGGAACAGGTTCTGCAGCAGTTTTCACAGATATTTGCTACTCCAACAGGACTACCTCCAGAGAGAGAGCTGGATCACCAAATCACTCTCAAACCAGGGGCAGAGCCATTTAAACTCAAGCCTTACAGGTACCCCCACTCCCATAAAGCAGAAATTGAAAAGCAGGTTGCAGAAATGCTTACGAATGGGATTGTTAAGCACAGTACCAGTCCTTTTGCCTCCCCTGTCTTGTTGGTTAAAAAAAAAAATACTTGGAGACTATGTATAGATTACAGGAGGCTGAATGAAGTGACTGTCAAGGATAGATTTCCCATTCCCAATATTGATGAATTGCTAGATGAGTTACATGGTACCAAGTATATGTCTAAGTTGGACCTCAGGGCTGGGTACCATTAGTTGAAGGTCAAGGTAGCAGACACTCACAAGACTGCTTTCCAAACACACCATGGGCACTTTGAATTTCTAGTAGTGTCTTTTGGCCTAACAAATGCTCCAGCCACATTTCAGGCTTTGATGAATAGGATTTTTCAGCCATTCCTGAGGAAGTTTGTGTTAGTGTTTTTTGATGATATCTTGGTCTACAGTCCCACTCTAGAGTCATATGCACAACACCTGAAAGTTGTACTCCAGGTCTTAGCTGATAATCAGTTATATTGCAAGAAGTCAAAATGTTCTTTTGCTCAGACATCTATGGAATACTTGGGGCATGTGATTTCTGACGTTGGGGTCAGTATGGACCCAGATAAGGTGGGATGTATCCTGTCTTGGCCAACCCCCAGCTCAGTTAAGGAATTAAGGGGTTTCTTGGGGCTGACTGGGTATTACAGAAGATTTATAAGGGGGTATGGTGTGATTTGCAAGCCTTTAACTCAGCTACTGAAGAAGGAGAGTTTTGGGTGGAACCATCATGCTCAGATGGCTTTTGAAGACCTCAAGAGAGCCATGACCACAGCTCCAGTACTGAGTATGCCAGACTTTGAAATCCTTTTTGTCATAGAGACTGATGCTCGTGGACTAGGGATTGGAGCAGTGTCGATGCAACATGGACATCCTATAGCATTCCTCGGCAAAGCTCTATCTAGCCAGAACTTGGGGTTGTTTGTTTATGAGAAGGAGCTATTTGCTTTGGTGCTAGCTGTGACCAAGTGGAAACACTACTTGGTGGGCCATCATTTTGTCATCAAAACTGATCACCAAGCTCTCAAACATCTGCTGGAGCAAAAGCTCACTCACCCACTGCAACATAAGTGGCTCACAAAATTACTGGGGTTGGACTACGAAATCCAGTACAAAAAGGGAGCTGACAATGGGGTGGCAGATGCTTTATCAAGGAGGAGGTTTGAAGACCCCCTTGAGGACATGGCAGTGAGTCATACCATGTATGCAATTTCCTCAGTGCAACCAGCATGGATGCAGGAGTTGGTTGCAAGCTATGAGGGGGATAATGAAGCTCAGCAGAAAATAGCTCAGCTCCTGTTAGACCCCAATGCAGTCTCAGACTATCACTTGGATAGGGGAATGCTCAAGTTTAAAGATAAACTATATGTGGGATCTGCTAATAGTATTCGTGGCAAGGTGATCAAGGCCTTGCATGACTCAGCAGTGGGAGGGCATTCTGGCCAAAGGGGATGTTTACACAGGATACAAACTCTATTTTATTGGCCTGGACTCAAGTAGGATGTTGTCATCTTTGTCAGATCTTGTGATGTGTGCCAGAGGAGCAAGCATGAGAACGTTCCCTATCCTGGACTTCTGCAACCTATTCCAGTCCCACAACAGGCATGGTCCCACGTGTCCATGGATTTCATTGAGCAGCTGCCCCTATCCCATGGTTTTGACACTATTTTGGTAGTGGTGGATCGACTGACAAAATTCAGTCACTTCATACGTCTCACACATCCTTTCATTGCACAGCAAATAGCTCAGGTCTTCCTTGACCAGATTTATAGGCTCCATGGATTACCAGAATCTGTAATTTCAGATAGAGATAGGACTTTTGTTAGCAGATTTTGGCAGGAGTTGTTCCATCTGTTGGGAGTTGGCCTGCATTACAGCTCATCCTACCATCCCCAGTCTGATAGCCAAAGTGAGCGAGTGAACCAATGCTTAGAAAACTATCTTAGGTGCATGTGCAGTGAACACCCCTCTCAGTAGAGTAATTGGCTACCTACAGCTGAGCTTTGGTACAATACCAACTTCCACACCAGTTTACAAATTACTCCATTTGAGGCATTGTATGGATACAAGCCCAACCACATTCCATTGGGACCCTTCCATGACAGTATTATACCAGCTGCAGCTAATCTGGTGCAGGATAGGCTCAAGGTCATATCACTCATCAAGAAGAACTTGGCAAAGGCACAGAGTCGCATGAAACACTTTACCGACAGACACAGGTCTGAACGTGCACTCCAAGTGAGGGATTGGGTGTTTCTTAAATTACAACCTTATAGACAACAAACAGTGGCTATTCGAAGGAGCCTAAAACTCACAGCAAAATACTATTGACCTTTCCAGATCATTGCTAAGGTGGGGGCGGTGGCCTATAAGTTGCAGTTACCTGATGGAGCTAGGATTCACCCAGTGTTCCATGTTTCTTTGTTAAAGAAAAGGATTGGAGATGCTCAGGGTATTGACCCTATGTTCCCTGCATGGGACTCCTCTGACCAATACTTACTTCAACCTGAGAAGATATTGAAAAGAAGAGCTACCAAGCGTAACTCTCAAGTAGTCATCCAGTACTTAGTGAAGTGGGATCAGCTACCGGAATCAGAATCCTCTTGGGAAGATAAAGACTTCATCGACAAACAGTTTCCAGAATTCCAAGCTTGAGGACAAGCTTTGCTTAAGGGGGAGGAATTGTCAGGAACTCAGAAATTAAGCCATTGTCGTTTTATTCACATTGTTTAGCGTTTGGTATACACAGGGCACAGACACTGGAAATGGTGTCGTTCCACTAAGCGACAATTAGTAGTAAATAAAGGCGGTTAAGACATAATTGCATAAATACCCCCCTAATGATTGTAACAGAATTAGTTAGGATATTATTTGTCTGAATTCATCAAATTCCCATACTTTCCTTTTTTCTGTTATTTCTCTCTCTTCCCTTCTACCTTTCTTTCTTTCTATTGCTCTCTTTCTGTTAACTTTTCGGTGACTGTTGTAGCCCATTGTGGCGGTGCTAGCTCGGAGCCTGACATGCACACGCTGGAACAATCGTTGTCTATAATCCAAATATTTCTCAAATGCATTAATTAACGCACTGGTCATAACAAAAGTCTTTGTTTTGGACGTTAATTACAATTGTTGTAGTATAACAAAAGTCGTTGTAGCATAGTGGTGAGTATTCTTGCCTGTCATGCAGGCGACCCGGGTTTGATCCCCGGCAACGGCGCCAAAAAAATTTATTTTTTTTTTAGTCGAATCTGTGCAATAATGAATATCTATTAGAAAAAAATATAAATTTTGTACATAGGGTGAGCAGAGTCGAATCCATAGGATTGGAAAAAATTCGTTTCTTTTAGAGTTCAGAGCCTTGGGAGATTTTTATATGATTCAGGATAATTAAACAACTCAGATAAATTAAATAAAATAAAAAATAAATGACAATTTAACAAAATTAAATCAATAATGAATAATATCTAGCCAAGAAATAATTTCGGAGACGATTCACCCAATTAATCATCGATGCAATGATAATTTCATTTATTCGCTGATAAACAAGTTATAACTGCCAAACACGCGATAATAATCAACTTCTTCTTACTGTATTGGTGATCAATGTATGACCATTAATCACTTTCCTAATCAAGAAATAACCTTAAGCACAAACATAAAATTCAATTTTCCAATTACCTTAAGAATTAAAGAAGTCATGTTCTAACCAAATAACATGCTATGCGGGTTATTTTAAGTTAGCTCATATGTTCTCCTGACACAAACCCAATCATATCAGTCACCACTAATTTAAAGTAATTAAATAATTATGGATTTAACTGATCTAACTGATTTTAGGTTATTAGATTAAATTAAATATTAGGTGCCCTTAATATTCAAATAAAATAATAACCATAAGAAATTAAATCAGAGAACATAAATTGCAGATTTATTATAAAATAAAAAGCCTACAAAACCTAAGAAATAATTCCAAGGCCAAAAAGGCACCGAAAACTAAAAACACAAAAGAGTTTAAATAGCATAAAATATTTAACGGTCCAAAGGCCCATTAACTTGCTCTTTTGGTTTGATGCTTAATTAAATTCCTCCCAAATTAGGGTGTAGGTTTCCTAAAACTCTTTTGGACTGGTGCACATGGCTCTTGGACTGATGCTCTTAGTACATTTAAACTCATTTTACCCCTACTATATTCATAACCACCATGAGAAGAGACTTCTGTGTAAAATTTTCGATATGGGATATAAAGACAAACTCATTAAATCTCTACCTTGACGTGTATCCAATATCGACAAATAACAGACAAATAACAAACAAACTCCACCTTCTCCAGAAAAAATTTAACGGATTCCAACGAACCACGATAGTCCAAACAAATCCCAACAAGCCACCAACAAACCAAGATGAAAAAGGGTCAACAGGTCCCAATGAGTCAAAACTCATAAAAAATTCAATATATCCCAACGGGTTAAAATAGTGAATATAGTAATCTTGCTCCACCTTCTTCACAAAACTCTCAATGAATTCCAACGGGCCAAAATAACTCTTCTTTAAACCATAACTAAACTCCAACGAAAATTTTTCTTCACTCTAAGTAGCGCTAAATCAATATCCCGGAATTGATAGTGATCTATTATTATCATCAAGAACCCAAAATCTGAAACTCTGATACCAATTTGTTAGATTTGGTATCAGAAAATTGATCAACAAGAACAATAGACTTCTTGGCAACCTAATAAAGACAATAACAAATCAAATAAAATAAACACAAAGATACAAAATTTTACGTAATTAGGCCTAATTGATCTACATCCATAGGCGAAAGGGGTCGCAGATTTACTATAATAGAAAAACAGTACAAAACCTAGAAAATAATTCCAATGCCCAAAAGGTACCTAAAATTGAAAACATAAAAGAGTCTAAATAGCATAAAATAACACTTGCATATTAAATAGCATAAAATACTTAACGATCCAAAAGCCTACTAACTTGCTTTTTTGATTTGATGTTTAACCAAAACTCCTCTCAAAATAGAATATGGGCCCCTTCAAACTTCTTGAATTGGTACATACAACACTTGGATTAGTGCCCTTAGCATATTTAATCTCATTTAAATCCAAATAGACTTTTTTATAAAATTCTCGATATGGGATACAAAGACAAACTCAACAATCTATTCCATTCTTAAAATAGCATACTTCTAACTAATTTACTTATTTTTCAGGTTGTCTCAGTAGATAATTAAGTGGTCTAATATGTGCGCAATTCGTGTAATGGTTATATTTTTGGTTGAGTTGCCCACAAGTTAGTGTCGATGTGACAAGGCTTCCTCTTTCATTGACGGCAACTTGCCAAATCTAAATTGTTTGAACACACACTTTTCAAGAATAACCCAAATTAATTACATAGAGTAATTTAATAAAAATGAAAAAAAATGGTGTTTTGAGATTCACTTGCCAATGAATTCTAAAATGGTTGAATTGTCATCAAATATATATGGAATTGTTAAAAAAGAAGTTTTAGCACCTCGAAGATGCTGGGGCAAAGTAGTAGTGGGGGAAGTTCAGAGTGAATACAGGATATTTTAAATTCTTGAACCAGGGCAGTCTTCCTCATTATTCAGATGCTCATTCAAAGGCAATACAAAAGGAGATGGATATCTCAGGCTTAGCACATCATCATATTGCAAGTCACTTGCAGGTACTAATCTTGATCAGCCAATGAAAATGCTCACATTTCTTATTGTTTCATTCATTACTTTTCTTTAATTTTAAAATTCTTTTGGTTTTTTGAATTCCTGAGTTAATTTCCTATATTTTTGTTCGGCTTGAATTCACAAGTTGATTAACTAATGTTGCTGCAAATGCTAGAAAAAGAAGATTTTCTGTTTATTTTGGTTTATCTTTAGATTTTTTTTTGATATTATCATTGATTTTTGTTTATTTGTTAGGAGTTCCCATGTTTAACTTGCTGAATGCCACCAATAATAATACTAATAATAATAATAATAAGAAACCTTTTATGGCTCAACTTTGATAAGATTTGTTACTTGAGAAATATTTGAATTGTAGCAAATTAAATGTAGTCGCCAGCCGAGCTATTACTATCATAGGACATTAAGTAAATTTTATATGCCAACAATGTTTGGATAATACACTGTTGTTCATATCCTGAATTAGCCTCAAATTATCATTTGTGTGAAGTTCAGATTAATTATTTGGTGGCTTTCCATTTCCAATATTCCTGTCTCCGAAATTTTTCTTTCCTTTTGATAAATTCTCCTACATTTTTCTCTTCTTTTATTTTGTCTTGCTATTTTAGCTTTAGATATTTTAACTCCAATTGGGACTCACAACAGGAAAGATGCAACTGAATTTTGAAGACAAATTTTGTTCATTATCATCCCAAGCTTAAACATGAAGATGGGTGACAAAGTGCAAGTTAAAATAGCAAATTTTTCAATTTGTTCAAAGAGATAACATTGGCATATTCTAACCGCACTAGGGCTATTTATCAGCAGCTTGAGTGTCATTAATTGGTTAGTTGATTTAAAAGATCATGAGTGATTGGTGATTGGTGTTCAGTCCAAGTCACAAAGTAATTTTGAACAATTTCATTTCTCTTGTTCTATGTTGGTTATTGGACTAGTCTTCTTTCCATTCTATTAAAGAGAACTTCTGTGCATTACATTTCAATAAAATTAATTTAAAAATTACTTTCAAAAATCGACACCGTTCATGATATATTTCATTACTGGTGTTAGTTATACAAAAAAATTCATATGAAATTGACCAAGTTTTACCGTCTAAGTTTTTGAATTCATTTTCAACATTTTACGATTGATGCTTGCTAAATTAAGTGCTTAATCACTTACTCTACGTATTCAATCCTTCCTGTTGCATTTGCAGCTGCAGAAGAGAATCGTCAAAATGAAAAATTGAGGGATAAAAAAGAATGATCTCCTAGCAAATTTAGTCATCACAACCGAGAGAGAATCGAGTGTTATTCAGTCTAATTTCCCTTAAAAAGTATGAGATCTTCAATGTCCATGCACCATATCAACCATATACAGATCATATCACCATCATCAGCACATATTTTGCCCGTGGCATCATTGGAGTCATTTGTTTGTACCATGATCGTGCATTCACAACATGACCAATATGATCGATCAGACTCTTCTTCTTTTATCCATGATTATGTTATCATCCATTGCATAGGAGAATGTGCTAAATCGAATTATAAAATTTTGAAAATTTGGCAAGATGTTACCAGGTTATTCTTGCTCTTATGGATATGTGTCATAAATTAGGTCTGATTGTCATAAACGAACTCTTGTGAATAACCGTATCTAAAAAAAAAAAAATTTCTTGTGAATATATGTCATAAACGTCATATTGTAGGCCAATATCTTAAGGAAAATTCTTATTTGGATCAAGACCATAAGAAACTAAACCTCGAGACTGAAGGAAAGTGTTAGACCGATTGCCTAATTTGTCCACTAGAGAGTCCCAAGAGAAAAGGCGAAGGGGGTGCAAAAGTAGATTTAACAGAAGTAGAATATGGGTTTAAAAGAGAGAGATCAAATAGTATTGAATTTTTCTGGTTCAATTGTAAGAACATAAAGATAATCTAATTTAATTGAAACAGTCCTTCGA